TGCAGGGCAGACAGTGGGAGCTCCCAGCTGGTGGGAGCTTAGAGGAGAGTCAGGGACAGGTGGCACAGGGCCTCTGGTCCATGACAACAGACACAGTCTTACTTTCTAAGAATATTAGGATGCCATTAGATGGTTTTAAGCCAGAGCGCAATATGGTTCTGGTCCAAATTTTGCAGCAATTGCTTTAGCCATATTGCAGAAAACGTACTGGAAGGGAGAGAAGGTGAATCTGAGGAGATCTCGTGGGAGGCACCTATGGACACCCATTGAGAGGTGAAGTGGGTTTGAGCAGGACACCCATGGTGGAGAGCCATGCTGACCTGAAACCCCAGCCCCGCCTGGCAGTGAGAGAACCAGGCTCTGAGCATTGCCAGAGGATGCTTCCCCACTGTTTATAGGTGGAGGGCTCTGTGGGAGGTGGGAAGAAATCAGACGTTTGTGAAAGCTTAGGAGTAGGGGTGGCATGACATGCTGCATGTCAGTTAAAAGGAGGTGGGGAGGAAGGTAGGTGAAAGCACCCAAAAGGGGGATTATAGTCGAGCCTACCAAACATGGTTTGCAACCAATGTGAACAACGCTGGATTTGGATTGGTCCACCAGGACTTTGCCTTGCAAGCAATGCTTGATGGGCGTAATGATCATAAAACATCTTTGTTTCTTGGAACTTAAAAAAAGAAGTATGTTTTTAGCATACAGCACATTGCCTCTAGCAGCTTAAAATTAGAGCCTTTTCAAGTGAAGGTTATACTAAGGACTCAGCTTAGCTGGTGAAGGTAAGAATGGGTTCAAGTCCAGCCTCAGTGGTTCCTACAATGGCCTTGGCCCCTCAGACATCCTCCCCACCCCCAACCACATTGCTCCCAGCACTCCTTCCCGTGGGATTGCTACAAGTCTTTGGGCAAACCATCTAGCTTTCCTCAATCGACTCACGTAAAAATAAAAGGGACCTGGCCCCTCAAGTCCCTTTCACTTCTAGGATATTTGATTCCACGCAACAAGAATCCTTCATACACACAGTGCTATGCTTGTGTTTTACGTGCCTGAGGGTTCTGAATCCCTGAGAACTTTATTCCTTAGCATTCATTGTCATGGTTCATGGTTTCAGGTTGTTCTAATAAGTCCAGGGAGAGTTCTTTCCCTGCCCTGAGAACATCTTAAGTCTGTTTCTGAAAATCACTGCAACCTCACGTCGCTATCTTCCATCCTCCCTCCCAGTCTCCTTCCCTCAGCAAATGAATGAATACACCTTTATTGAGCCCCTGATGGGTGCCCTCCATTATGCTTTGGACTTTTGCTCAATTCATTGTCAAGACACTGTTGGGAGACAGGGTTATGTTCAGCATTGTCGGGGGAACCAGAGTCACACAGAAATTAAATAACTTGCCCAAGATCACTCAGCAAAGTGAAGGTGGCGGAATGCTGTCAAACCCAAGACTTCTAGTCTATGTCCAGGGTTTGATTTTGGTTTTGTTTCCCTAAACTGGTGTTTCCCAAAGTAGGAGACTTACACCCCGGTGTAAACAAGCTGGTGCAAGATGGTTCATGGACAAGGCAGGGAGAAAAAAAAAAAACAAACTGAATCACATGATAGGGAAGTTGTTTTCTTTTTAATTCTCTCTCAAACATTCTGATTAGTCAAGTAGAAAATGGGTTTGGCTTTAATGTGGCTTTAGTGCGTGTTGAATATTTGTTAATATCCCCCTTTTACAAGGAGAGCTGGTCTTGGGCTAAGCACCCTCAACATTCAACAGTGTTTAGCAGAAATTTAATAAAATTATTTGATTTTATCCTCTATTTTTGAAACATGATATGGGTTTTTCTCATATATTTTCCCCTTAATTTTTTGCCTTTTAAGGGCAAATTAATTAATAAGGAATATCAGTAAGTCAAAGTTCAGGTTAGGGACATGATAATACCAATCTCCAGGTGGAGTCATCTGAACGGAGCTGGGAGGGGCTCTCTGTGGTCCTGGTGACACTCAGTGCTGAATCTGGGCTTTGTTTATTTGTTTCTCTGAGAAATACATAAAACCAATTATAATGAAAGCCATACTTGCCCTTGGGAACACCGAGGCTTCCTTCTAAAGTTTAAATTTTATAACCCAAATCAACCCAAGCTAGTAATGGAGTCTTAAAACCTAGGAAAAATACGTAAGTTTATTGCAAAAGATAATATCCCATTTAAAACAGTTTAGAAATTTACAAAACCTTATATCAGTACATTGTCTTTAAGAAGGTGCTCTATAGATGAGCTGGTATTGAGTTCCAAGGATAGTGAATACACATTTTCTTTTTAAACTACAGAGAAAGCAGCTACATAAACGCCTGCAATGTAAGATATATTGGTCTTTTTACCTTCAATTTTATAAAAGTAATTTTTGCTAAATTAATATTTCTCCGTAAAACCATATAACCTCAAGTACAGCATTTCTGTAGGATATCATGGTAGATGGTACATAGTATTTTACAAAGAAGTAGTGATTTTCACATGAATAGATGAGTGTGGCGTTTTGATATATGCCTGTGTTTTGTTTTTTTTTTAAACATAGATGATCAGTTTTGTTCATCAGGAAAGTGTTTATCCAATCCCTTTTTCCTCACAATGATCTTAAATGTTAAGTTTCCCGAAGAGAATGCCTTCCTGGTTTTAGGTTGGTGGCCCAAGCAATGCAGTGCTGTTGTGCTTTGATCTGGGATCATCATGGCCTCAGTTAGTTTTATTTCTAGAAATGTTGACATTTTCCAACCCTAGTTTTATGTAATTCAGTTGAGAGTGTACGTGAGGCCCCCCTAACTCAACTTGTGCGTCTGACTACGTGAAATTCTTAATTTTGTGGGAGGTACCCCAAACATCTTGTCATCATTCTAGGCTAACTTTGCCCAGTGACCCAGCTCACATGATGTTGGAACATGCACAGAGTTTACCAAGTAGGTAGGTAGAGCAGGTGTCCTTATCTTCTTCATTCCAGAATGGATGAACAGACCCTGAAAATTTAAGACAGTTGCCAAAGTTTAGTGGAATAGACTGCTTGGTTTCCTGGGTCTCTTAATTCTAGGAACAGGATTATTTTCATTCTACACAATGCTCAAGAATATAAATCTATTTGAAATTGGTATAAGCAAAGCAAATTAGGATGGAAGCTCTATTATAAGATAGAATTACATAAGAGATCCCAAATGATTTTGCTTTATTGGATTATCCTTTATGCTGTTCTTTTCCATTGCTTGGGCCAACTGAGAGTTGATCCTCTGGATGTAGAAAGAAAGATCTGTGGCTTTCAGCCAGTGGTAGCATATCTTATTGAAATGTGGCTTCCTAAGTATGACAAGTGTATTTATCTTAATTCTAACTTGACGTTATATATTCCGGTCTCATTTTGTGGGTTTAAACATTACACTGGAAACAGAACAAGAACATCTTGAATGACATTCCAAGACTTAAATAGTGCAAGCTGAGATTCCTTGCCAAATTTCCCTCTTACTCTCACTGAAATAGCTTTGTGCACTGCAGCACTGTGACAGGGGAAGGTGAAACTGTCGAGTGCTTTGCTCAATTAGTCTCCGTTTGCAGTGGGGTACATACATCCTATATTCACACAGAATGTTCCACTCTGCAAAGTCTTTAAGTCAGACACTAGGTCTTCCACAAAGGGGATTATTAACCTTCTTCACTTAATGTATATTTAGTTTCAAGATCCCTTTCTAGCAGTATCAGTCCAACCACAGGCTGGTAGGGAATTTAATTTAACCAGAAGGAATCTGAGCTTTGCCATCCTACTCTCATCCCCAAGAGTATGTAGCAATTACTTAATTATATTACCTTAGTAGTTTGTTCAGCCATGCAAGTTTCACTGGAACCACATGTATGAGGGTCTTGTCAAAAGAATGAGCCAGATCTTAAAGAACTCAGACTTGAGTGGGGGAAGAAAAAGGTCTTTAATGCTAAAATGGGCAGGGGCTATATCCTTATCCTCATTCCTGCTGCTTCTTCAATCGGGTGACCACTGCTTGGTCATCAGGAGGGGAGACTCTGTCAATTAATATAAGTTTGCACCTATCTACAAGGCTATAGCAGGGACGAATGGACAAGAGTGTTGTGTCTTATCTTAACCTTATTTATGTTACTGATAAGATGTGTCTGACAGACAGGCTACAGGATATCATGATCTTAAATGTTGCTGTGGAATCTTAAAGTTCAAATCCAAATCACATTCCACCAATTTTCCAGGTAGTCTCAGGGCCCAGGCCACAGGCATGATGGTTTAAGGTGGGCTCTGAAACAGCTGTAACTGCAATTTACAGTTACAGCTCTAGATTACAATTGCACAGGCCATCCACACCAACAAATTCCTTACGCCCTGGAGTGACATTACTCTGAGACAGACAGTAAGGCCCACATGGCATGAGATGACAGATCCTTGATTTGGAATCAAGGGGGTTAATTAAAAAGGAAAGTGACCCCCGCATACCAGGGTGGTCTTGCATTCTTATGCCCGCCCGCTCTGTTGTGCTTGTGTACACTGATATCTTAGAAAACTGCCAGTTTATTTATCTTATTTGTTTTGGGTTATCTGCTTAGAACCTTCCTCTATCTTCTAGCTCCACACAACACATTTTTTTTTCTTTTGGGATGATGAACCCAGGATGGGAAGGAAGTGCTTAGCATCACAGAGGGGTTGAAAGGTATAGTAGAGGTTTTGCTCATGGTGGGATTCTAGACTTGCAAACCAGGGTGAGGCCTAGCCACGTGGTTCAGAGAACTTAGCAAGTGGTCACTCTAGTGTCCACAAAGTCCTCAGCAAGCAGTAGCACGCACTCAAGGAAGGATGGTCATCAGGTGTCCAGCAGTGACTTAAACCGGCTCCACGACTCTCCTGCTTCCCAGGTCAAGGGGCTCACAGCCCAGGGCCTTTGCAAAGAAGCAGAGAAGGCCTTGAGGGTGGTGGGTTCCCCTTCTTAGGGAGATCCAAGGGAAGGGTGCAGGAGATGGTCCCAATGAGCTCAGATCCACCAGAAGCATTTCTTCTTCACTTTCTTGGTTTTCCGCCTTAAGTCCTGTTTTTCTGGGACCGGGGGTTCTGCTGGGGACTTTGGTGGGGGAGATGCTTCTTCAGCTGGCTCAGCTTCCTCCAGACTCTGCAGAACTTCATGGAACCTGCCTTCCTGCTGCCGAAAATCATACTCTACACTGAAAAACAGAGAGGAAGGAAGGAAAGTACATTCAAATCAGCACAGACTGATTTAACATCACCAAGGGCCCAACTGACATGGAAGTGCGTGGGCTTTGGGATTCAATCTCAGATCCTTAGGGACTTTACTGGCTGTGTGACCTTGGGAAAGTTATGCCACCTCTCTGAACCTCCAGTTCTCAGTGATTGAACTGGCATCTGTAATGCCCTCTTTGCTGGCCTGTCATTAAGTGAACGTGAGTCCTGTAACAAGGCAGCCTGATGGCAGGCATTCGGTAAATATTGGGTCCAGTCTTTCTCTCACATTTATTTAGTGTTCCTAATTGTTAATGGATATTTTTTGCACATATTATGCATAAAACTGCCTCATTATAAAAGATTTAAAGAACAGAAAGGAACACATGATAAAACTGACAGCTCAGTTTCCTCCTCTGTACGGTGAAGGTAAGAATGGCACCTATCTCAAAGGCTTTCTATGGAATTAACATGTGTAGAGTGAGACAGTATAAATGAAGGGCCCAGAGTAGCGCCTGGCATGTGGGAAGTCCTCCAGATGTGTCAGCTTCTGCTGCTCTCTTTATTACCGTCAGTAACATTATTGCTATTAATATATCACACCTTGCTCTTTGAATTGCTTGAGTCTCACCTTGACAATGTACACATGAGACTCCTCAGAGTATTC